ACAGGATATTTTACCTATATCAGATATTATCTATTTTACAGTATCATACCTATATCAGTTATTATCTATTCTACAGTATATTATGCCTATATTAGATATGATCTATTCAACAGGATATTTTACCTATATCAGATATTATCTATTTTACAGTATCATACCTATATCAGTTATTATCTATTCTACAATATATTACATCTATACCAGACAACACGTAATCTACAATATATTTCTATGTTGCATCTTTGTTAATACAATCATTAATATGGTACCAACATAGGATGAATCTGAATCAGGTCTCGCGTCAAAATGTGTCTTTTGCCAACACATTACTCATTCAAAATCCTCAATAATACCCACAGTTCCTTACAGGCTCTATATATTGGATGGAATTGTGTTAGCCTCCATTCCTCTCTTTGCCAATCATGTAACCAAATAAACGGGTTTATTTAACGAGCAGAAATTGTTTTCACCCCCACTTACAATGTTTTCTCAGTTGCCTAATCAAGGAGAGTTTATTACTCGACCTTTTCAAGACAACTGTATTGCATTAGTAATTCCTTGTTCAAGTCCACATTGTAAAATAACTTCGTTCGGTAATTTCTATTGGGGGACACATATTATTGAACATGGTTTGCTGCAGGCAACAACTTCTCAACCTCTTGAGATTTCTTCATTGATTTTTTATTCTCATCTAAAATATAACATGTTATCTGTTTTATTTCACCTTGTAATAAGATAGTTAAAACTGGCATATTTAGTCCTGTCTTCTTCATTTTAAGGAGGTTATAAAAGTGTCTTAATGAAATTGAAAGAAATATTTGAAATCTCAGAATCCATTAAAGTATTTGTCTTAATTAAGTGACAATAATTTTTAAACTTTCAACCCTAAATTTAATGCTTTAAATAATTTAACTCCCTTCAAAAGCTTTGTTGGCGAGCTCACTTATCGCCTAAATGAACTGGTTTCTGTTTTTCTAGTTTGACAGGAATAGAGCATATAGAATTACACAATTCTAGTTTTTAAGTAGAACTATGTATATCATTTTTCCATGATATGTTTGGAAGATTTTTTAGCTAACCATCTTGTAATGTCACCATGAAGTACGCCATCAGTCATCACATTATACTGAAAACGCATTTCTGACAACAAAATATAAGCAGTTTAAGGTATACAAAAATATATATCAATTCAATATTGAAAGATAGAAACAACACGTTGGTTGGGAGGAGGGGGTCGGGAATATAGTGTAAATAAAGAAAAATACAAGATTATGACATGGTCTAATAAATTTATAATCTCACAGTAAAACAACATATGAATCTGTAGGATTTCATACCAATGACAAAAAAAATGTTTTAAATCATGTCTGGGTTTTGACCCATAATTTCTTACGAAAAAATATTTAATTCTATAAATATTCAGCACTATTGGAGAAAATGATGACTTGATAGGTTTTTATTTCAATATTCAATCTTCAAACAAAGAAAACAAAATTAATTCTTCAATCAGAGCTGATGGATTATTTTTCATTCAGTAGTTCTTTTTCTAAATATTGTATCAGAACTGTGAGAAAATGGTGCTGATTTTCTCAAACCAGTTAAAATTATATCGTAATCACAGATTTACACGAGAGAAATTTGAGGGTGAACAGAGAACAAAATACCAACTAAAACATTGTTGAGTGAGGTATGAATTGTGATTGCTCTTGGAGCTCTAATTAACTAATTGGAATGGAGAACACTTCAAATCCATTTTCCATTATTAAAAGAATCAACATACATAATAACATAGAGAACTGACTGAAGATAATATGTACAGGTGATTTATGAAGAAAATCATCACACAACAATAGTAGATTATAATCAATATTAATATTTGATAAAGATTCCTTTCTCATTTATATAAATCATTATTTCTACAAAGTAATGGCAAGAAACACAACTCATTGTGATAGTGGAATTTTCTTTGACAAAATATTAAAACTGTAAGAACATGAATATTGTAGTTGAACATTTCTCAATAATTTCAATAATATTCTCATTAAAAGATAAATATATCCACTTAAATACTAAACACGTCAATGATCAGATCGAAAACAGTTTTACTAGAAAAATAAATTTGAAATAATGCCACTCCAGAACAACATAAACATTTCTTATAATATTTATCATAAAGTGAATGGAAATTAAAGACTAGAAATTTCTCCTTTGTCATATCTCGGTTATATAACTCTTTCAAAACTCACTTTCATTAAAAGTAATGTTTATCAAATTTGAAAATGAATAAGAATTTGACCATGAAAATAATGTTTGAAATAGAATATATATATAATCTATATGTATCAAAATAAGATCAGATAGTACTTTCAGATAAATCATAACCTCTAGAAGGTAATGTTTATATCAAATTAAAGTCTTACCAATATTAAAATTACAATAGCAAGAGGTAACAACAGCGAATAATAACTCTAGTCTTTAGTTTTTGGAAATAATTTTCTTTTTAAACCATTCATGTTTATTATATATTTTAGTACAAAATCAACTTTTTAAGTAGGATCAAATTTTACATCCTACATTTTTGCTCCTGATATTTTCAAACATTAAAATGATTTTGGTCAAATTATTAAAAAAATTTATCAAATGAGAATACATATACTATTAACTGTACACACAAAATAAACATCTTAAATTAAAAAACAACATGTTACCATTGTATTTTAAAAATGATTTCTATAAAGTGATCATATTAAGATGAGATCTGAAATCTTGTGTTTTAAATTGGGAGAAATTTGGAAGAGCAAAGAGTTAAAAAGTTTTGATGTTATTTTGAGGTTGATTAATGATTGTAAAAGGTTTTGAACACAGCCACTGTTTATAATATTCTTCTCTCTAGATACTATCAACATACTCTCTTCACAATATATATTTACAATTAGTCTTTACTATACAGTTAAATTAACTGTAGGTCAGTCTCTATCTCTAGTCCACTGTAAGATATTATTGTTAATTATTTGGCTAATATCTTTTTTAACATCAATGAAGATGACACTATATATAACACAGTAATGAAGAAATGTATTTTGAGTCTGTAACAATACACCCTTCTCCTTAAGAATTAAATATAATAACAATATACAGTTCAAACTGGTGAATTTCACTCCATTTGACTGTTAACTTAGTGAATTCTGCTCATTATTTCAGATGGTCAATAAAATTAGCACATCTCACATGTCTTATTTGGCCTCTTTCCTTTTTTATCTTTGGCTTTCAGTAAAAAATGAGCCCACAATACTAGCTACCAGCACAAAAAGTCTAAACCCTCAAGTTTGTGTGCTAGGTAGGATCACTGGCACTCTAACAGTATATTATGCTGCACAGTTTGAGATTAAATGATCTGTTACGTGGCCTGTATACTCGGTGATGCGCTAGGCACTGGAGGTCCCGACACTAAATTACATAAACTAGATTTGATAGTGAAGTCTGAAACATCATCCTCATCCATTTCATCCATGATAGGTGATAATTGATTGTCATGGCACAATTCAGACTGAGAAAAGTCGTCCCCAGCTTGCGAGGATGGCTGCGGACTGTCCACATTAGAATCGCTATCGTGAGCTGAACGTCCTGAATCACAAAATTCACTAAAACTTTCTTCATCTGTATTACTGCCACCATCCTCACCACGCATAAAGTATATACATTTCTTCTTACGCCTGTAAAATAATAATCAATGTTTATTGGGAAAAAATAAGTCTTCTAATTATTAAATTATCTAAAATGTCTTTTAAATTTTGAAATTTGGAGACATGAAACTTGTGTCCGACTGTTTTTAATAACTAACAGTGGAAACTAAAAGCAATTAAGCATTGAGCAAGTGCTATAACTTCACAATTATGATAATCATTCTTCAACTTGTTATGTGTGCAATAAATTAGTAAAGCAGAAATCAGCAAGTTAGTTGTTTTTACTTAAGATTGTTTATATTCATTGTTTTAATTTCCTTAGTAAATAATTCAATTAAATTCATTTAGTTTACTAAATTACTATTGATACTGACAACATATCTTGAAAACATGCAGTCCATCACATTTTCATGCATATTTCTTATTATTCTTTATAGAATTTACTTTTAGTTTATATTTCAGGCAACATTCCTACAGAATAAGCTGAGACACAGGCAAAATTTGTGAATGAAATTTAATACAAACATAATTTTAAAGTTAATAATGTCATAAATATTATATTGCAGCAAGTTAAAATATATATATAACTCTAAGCAGATATAAGTCATGCTGAATATATGATAACATGATATCCAAATTAGTCCTGAAAGCAAAGTAATATTAATAAGCATTATGGTATAATAACCACAACCAATGAATGAATGATACATGCAGGATAATGTACAATATTCTCTTTATCTGGAAAACAATTAATATACATGCAGGGAGTTATATACATAATATATGCATAAAGCACAAGCAAGCTAAAATAAAATAGCAAATTAAGTAATAAGCAATAAGCATTATGCATAGGATATATATATTAGAACAATAATGATGATGATTACTGAAATGATAATTATGGAAATCATGATGATGATGAAATAAAGTTATACTTTCGTACAAAAAAATAAAACAAAAGCATAAGAATCCTCAACCCCAGTGGCTACATGCAAAGCTTTATTAAGGTTTTGAGGGCGTACAGACAAGAAGCAAGCTGCAAATCTGAAGACAGCATGCTGTACAGTCAATACCTTGATAATCATTAAATGTTGGTGTTGCTTTGATCTAAATCAGCAGTTGTCGGATCACATGTTTCATGCATCGTTCTGAAATGAGATTAGGAGACGGCCTTGCAGAAATATTTCATGGTTTATTATACAAACTTATATTTCAATCATATTTTCTGGCCACAAATTGTATCTGAAAAGAAAAATCTCTGTAAAGAAATTACAATAATCTGAAAATAATTATAAAGCATAAGATAAATGAAATGACCTACCTGCATGGCTTACACCAATTAGCTTGCTGTTCCATACCAAATCTTGCTCGACATTTCTTAGCATTAGGACATTCTGAAATATTCAATTAAGAAAACGTTTCAGTGAGTTCTAATACTAATCTCTAGTCAAAAAGGCAAATTAATTGATCATAATGCTTTGTAAGTGAACCATCAAGCTCGATAGAAAAATAATATTAATTTAAAAATTTTGTATATGATTTGAGTCATACAATACCTTTACCTCTATTTTTATCAACTATATCACTCTTTTTCCGTTTCTTTTTTTTACTCTGTATAGCATAATTATCTCGAGCACTCCAACCTGGATATAACTGTAAGTGTAATTCTTTTTCTTTCCTAGCCATCTCATAATACTTGGACTGTTCTGACCGGTCTAATGCATGCCACTGAAAAATATATCACCAAATTTATTCCCTCATATTTGTAACCTGTTCTAGTCCTGTGTATACTCCAATTGACCTTGACAATTGAGATAGTCTTTTTATAGCCAAAAATATCATTGATAAAAGACGTGGATTTCTTAAGGTCCCTCAAGGCAATAAAACTTAAAAGATAAATTTATTAAGTAATAACTCACCCGTCTTCCCAATATTTGATTAATAGCAGCCGATTCTCTCAGGGTACATTCTGCTATAACTGTTGGTCTCATTTCTTTCATAAATAACATAAAAGCATTTAATGGTTTCTTTATATGTGGTTTCTTTTTCTCAGGTTCTGGTGGGGGTTGATGATGATGATGATTTTCAGAACCATGTCTAAAATAAGATGATAAAATGATCAGATATAATGAACATTTTAACAATATAATGACTATTTCATACAGAATCATTTAAGTAAAATTTTAATATATCATTTCATCTAGATTTGTATAAGCTTCACCCATTTATATTATTATGAAGATTATGCAGCATGCCAAGTAATTTTCAATTTGTGATACAAGTTATTGAAAGGTACTCACCTGTGATGGTCATGACTCATATGATGTGGCAGGATTTCTTGTTTTGGTCCCGGACTAATAATGGCGGGATGAGGCATACCTGGTTGTATACCAGGTGGCATCATACCAGGAGGACCAAATCGTGATATGGTTGTATTTAATAATGGAGGATAAGAACTACTAAAGGCACCTGAGGAAATAGGATAACCTGTAGGCCTATGCCTGCAATGTAACAAATTTTTAACTGGTAAATATGTTTTAACGAAACTAATATTACAAAAAGTATCAATGACATCATCAGTAAAATCAGTTGTGTAAAAATATCAAAGAGAACTAAAATATAGCCATTCTATTAAAAAACATTTCAGATTAATTCTTACCATTTATTCTAAATTTGACAAACTGATTACAAGATATTTTTATCATAAATAATATTATAAGAATTCATTCAAATTTGGCAAAATTTTTAATGACAACTAGCAATAGCTACTAATGAATAAATTTATAAAATGTTTTACTTTAGGGTATGAAGTCCAAATTCGACTTGATTATAGAATAACTTAACCAGAAACAACAGTTGAAGACAAACACTGGAAACAATAATATATTTTCTACCTTATTGACACACTACACACATTGCATCAATTCAGATTTTCAAAAAAGGTTTTTACTTGACACGTGGCAAAATTCATACTTTTTCTATAGAAATTGAACTCTATATTTCTCTATTTCATATTTGAACAATTAAGAAAGCTTTTAAGAGCAAACTATTGACACCTGTATAAAAGACTAAACAGCTGAAAACTGAAATTGACTTAATTTGAATCACACTTTAAAAATAACCACCTAACTCCTTTTTATCAAAATAACTCTTATTCAAATAAACTAATCTTTTTACAATTTTTGTTTAACCTATTTAGTATCTATATTCCTTACTTTGCTCTATAATGTCTTTAATAATAACAATTGTAAATTTTAAAAAAAACTGTTACTGGCAACATTTGTTTGTTTGACAATAGTATAGTTATTTGAATATAAATTAATGTAAAATCATCCAATATTTCATTCTAATTTATATGTAATAAAAGATAATTCAAACCCACTATGACAGGTTATGCTTATGGTTTTAATTAAATAAATAGGTTTCTGCTACATTAGCTTTAATACTCGATGAAACTTAATGTCATTATCTATTTAGTCATAAAAAAATATTGAAATGAACAATGATTATGTTTGTGATCCCAATCAGAAAGACCTGTCATGAATAATGAGCCAATTCCATATGTCAAACAAACTTTATAGCATACCATACCATTTATAGCGATATTAACTTGTTTCAAACTAACATATCAATTTTGCTGCCTAAATTTGGTTTCCACAGAAAGAATTCGACTAAATAAGTAACAGATTTGTAATTTCCACATGACTTACCATTGAGAGAATTCTGGACTATATAGAGGATGAAATTGTCCTGGAGGATACGCTGCGTATAATGGTGGTCGTGGTAATCCTGAAAACAATTTAATTATTTAGAAACACAGTTGTAAATAAATATTCAAATTTCAATAGTTTAAAATTCAATATATTAACAATTATGCAACACTAAATTTGAGATCAACAGCCCTTTTATACCAAAAACTGAAACTAGTTATTTACCTGTTTTAGGATCTGTGGTAACTGGAGGAATTCCCATATGTGCTGGAGGTGGGGAGCCATAATCATTATACATCATAAAACCGGGATATGGTGGCATTCCCAGCTTCCCCTGGAAAATATAAATGGTTCGATATAAAGTTTAATATGATTATATTTCAACAATAATAACCTACAGTATAGCATGTGGACCATTCCATACATCAAAGATAAATATTTCTTTAAAGGTTTTACCAATTTCTGTCCTCCAGCAAATTTCTACAAAATCATAGTTTTCAACTCATTTTTGATGTTACATTAAGTAATAAAGTCAGTTAAACTTCAAAGTCTGGCATCAATTTTTAAATAAACTTTCAGTTCACTTGGTAAATTTATATGTCTAACAAGAGATCAAAGACTTAGTATTTTTTCCCTTGCTTCAATTTTTTTTATAGATGAAATGAAGGTCATTCTGTTAGCTAAATATCGCAAGATCATTAGATGATGGCTAAAGCTGGGAAGAAAAAATCTGTGATAAAATATTAGATAAAGAGGCAAGTGTAAAGATGAAAGGAAGTGAGAAGGTAGTGGTGTCCATAATTTATTTAATTACTACCATCTCATTACTGAATAAACCCAGGTAATTTTCTCTTCATTGCTTCACATAATAATCTGCAGTACACTTATAGAGTATTATATGAGTACAGATATGGTGAGGACTAGAGAGTTATTGTTGTTTAGATCAAAGAGTAAATGAATATAGAAACAAGCAACAAGCAAACTAAAGACATAATGTTAACCTCTATCTCAGCAATTGATGGAGTAAAATGATTATACAGAATGTTACCAGTTCTTGGTATTTTCAATTAAATTACAAGGATTAAAGATGGAAGATGAAAAAAGAAAGTGAGAATGAAATAGGAAGATGAAAGGAACAAGATGGCCATGTTGCCTCTAGTTATAAATTTGTAATATAAGACTTAGATTAAAGTATGAGCATCTTCAGTTTAAACTTATTCTTAATACTGAAGTTCGTTGGAATAGAAAATGTTAATTAAAATTTCATAAGAAGTAAATTTTCTAAAAACAATTTTTAAATGTGTTTGCTTCAATGTAATTCATAAGCTTATATCAAATAAATTGAAAGTCTGTAAGAAAACTTTCCACAGAAAATAATGTTTAGAATTCTATTCCAATGGACTAAATATAGCCCCAAAATAGAAATCAAATTCTGATTTTCTATGTTCATCAACTATTCTCCATAGGAAATGAAATCTCTTAAAATCTCAGAAATCTTTTCAAACATTCTGCCACTTACAATGTATTTGTTGCCATCTATGCAAACACAAATCTTTTTGACAGCTTGAGAAATCGCTTTCTTTACAGGCAGTTAATATTTACCAAGCTAACTGCATTACAGATCTAGTGCAGCTTTCATTTAATCAATTTTATTTAGACAAAGATGGAAGAAATGTTCTGGTTTAAAAAATAAATGCCTGATGACAGTAGACAATTTAATATCAATATTAAAACATTTTGTTCATTGACAACTGACATACAGACTTGAAAACTTCTACAATGATCAACATGTCATACAGTGAACTGTAAATAAAGTGTAACATGTTACTTTTCAACTACATCCACTGTTAAATACATTTGAACTTCACTTAAAGGACAAGAAATTGTTGTGTGATTTTTTTTACACCTTACTATAGTTAAAATGAAGATATTCAACTGCTCAAATTTTAAATTTGTGTTTGAAATTATTTTTTATCAATTATTTGTGAAACCGGATGTGACGTAGAGTGAGCTCTAGAACAATAACAAACATGGGGTCAGCCTATGATTCTGATACAAGTTTACCGAGAAAAGATAAATAATATCAGGATTTTGGTGTTCAGCCATACAGATTTGAGCCTGTTTATACTCTAGAACAACTCTTAGATAGGGAGGAAATGGAATCGAACAGAAATGAGACGAATAGTGGAGATCGGGAGACAAACTTGTTCAGTAGAACCAAGGATACATTTTGATGTACTTGTAGCAAGTGCCTCAGTAATGTCAAATGAAACTGATTGTGTTTGATGTCAGGTATTACAACGTGTACAAAATATCACTGCACGAGTTGTATGGAGACTGCCATGTTTGTTATATATTTATTTTATCTATAGTAAGGTGTTTAAAAAAAAACTCACAATTTCTTGTCCTTTAAAGAATATACATATCTTTATTCAGCTTGTTCTAACATCATTCAATATTGCTTTATCAGAGGTGTAAACTAGAATTCTAGTATCAGAAGTGTTTAATGTTTCAGCTAAAAGAGTCATCAACAAAACTGATACACCATCAAATTTCTGATTTCTCAAACTTATAAATTTAACAAAGTGTCCAAGATTTATAAAGGTTACAATCAATCTAAAAAAGGTTACATATGATATCACATGAACAAAGATTTATAAAATACAAAATTAGTGTAATTTGACGAAGGTGGATCTATAACCCCTATTACATTATAAAATTCATCTGTTCTCAGAACTCAAAAGAAACAGTTGAATTTAGTATAATGTTTAACGATTGTTCGTTCCGAGAACCGTTGCAATTCTGGCCCACACCAGGGTGATGAATGGTTCTTAGAATGGATTTGGCAAATTGGTGCTCTGTTAACGGCTACTGTTCCAAGAACGCTTTACTGTGCATGCCTCTAAAGCGACACTTCACCTTTTGTCCTTATTAAGTGCAATTGTTGATTACAACCAGATGACTTTGATTACATCAGTTTGACTAAAGAATTAATTTAAACTTCTTCAAGAAGAGTTAGACAGATGACCGTGCAGGAAATGCTTTTCATTTCCGCTATAAGAGGAGAGCCATTCTCAGACTACTTGAATTTACTGTAATGTAAATGGTCACATTTTATCACTGCCTGGTCCGGACCAAGAACAGAACACATTATAAAGGCCTCGTGTAAAAGGGGCGTCATTGGGAATTTTTCAACGGATCGAGTCAAATAGAGTGAACAAATTTGGTGAACACTTCAAGATATCTAGTATTGGTCGACTATGAATCAAACTGAACAACAA